TGCCCTGGAGAGAAACCTCAGCACCTTCCCCCGGAGCAAAGGTGAACAAGATCTTTGACTGAAGTTACATAAAATATTTCAGACTGGTATATTTTCCAACAATTCTCCTATATTTTCCAACACATGGACAATGGGAAGTTTTTGCATCAATTTTCACATGGAAGAAGGAAYAGGACAGGATGATATTTTCATTCATGACAACCTCCAGGCGCTCTGGTTCTCACCGTGTTCCTAACTCTCAGGTGYTCATCTTTTTGGAGATGAGGGAGAGCAGGAAAAGAAGGAAGAGTTTGAATTCACCTTGACTTCTCTTTGTCTCCAGCTGCCAAATATGCAGGGAGTCATTATCAGAAAAGAAAAATTTGTTTGTGGCTCCAYTGAGACTTGAGCAGTGATGTGACTTCAGGGGCAAAGGCACTGTCATGATGCATCACAGCCCTGCAGGCATTAAAGTGTCTCATGCAGCTGCWCAGCCAGAAAAGCTGCTCAGATTGCTGAAGTCCTTTCAACAAGCTGAGCCCAAGGCAATATTTAGTAAGAAACTGCTTCTTTAAAAATTAAAAGGAGTTATTTTTGCATCATTTGCATCATTTGACTTGGGTTATTTTGGATGTGTTCTGTTATAGGTCACCTGTGTTGCCAGAAAAAAAAAATGAACTCATAACTGATTCTGTTCAGAATAATTCCTTTAAAATATACCCATTTTTATTGCCTAATTCTTTACACAGACACTTCAAAGCCATGAAACGATGAGGGTTAGTTCTATTTTAGCTCTGACAGGTGATTTGCACCCTGCACACATTTCCATAAGTGTCTCAACAGTGACCAACAGCTCCGTACTTAGTCGAGGATTTCAGCCTGGCTCAAATGACACAAAACTAGCAAAGGGAACTTCCATCCCTGTATTTAGTGTTGCTGTATCAAACTCAATTTGTGAGCCAAATAATGATCTTAAATTGTCCTGTAACTACAGGAGAAAATGGCATTCCTTGCTCACCTGCAGTGTAAGAGCTCAGTGAGATTAAACCTCCTTGGTTTTTTCCGTGTGACTGTGACAGAGACAGACAGTGCTAGCAAGATCTGGGACTGACATGTTGTTGGAAAATATTCCAGTTTAAATTTTTTTTAATATAACTTCAGTGAGGGGTTTTGTTCGCCTTTGCCCCAATAAAAGAGATTATAAGTTTCTTTCCAGGGCATCGTTCCACCTTCAGCATCTCAACAGAGTGGRAGCAGCACAAAAGATAATGACCATGAATGACCATTAATGAACATCAACTCCAAACCGCAATAGAAAACCAAATAGAAAACCARATCCTGAGAACTGCACAACCTGGGACCAATGAACATTAAAGCAGTGAATTTCTATAGGTTTTGACTGTATAAAGTCTGGGAGAAAACTTGTAAAATCCATCTGTCATGGAATGATTTTCTCTGTACACTCAGTCTATATGTAGATTAAATYATAGCTGTTGCACCTCCTAGCCAGAACAACAATGTTCTATCTCAAAAAGAAAAAAAAAAAAAAAAAAAAAAAAAAAAAAAAAAAAAAAAAAAAAAAAAAAAAAAAAAGAGAGAGAGAGAAAACAGATCTTGGAGCTGCTGCAGAAGGCAAAAAGGCAGGAACCAAACACCTGAAACAAGTGGCTCTCATTTTGCCACAAATAATGGAAAGAAATCTTTCTCTTTTTGGAATTGGGAAACTTTTTCAGGGGTAGCAGCAGATTATCTTGAAGATTYTTATCTATTTTAATCAGGCTTCTTTTAGCACCTGCTGAGATGTCTCAGAGCTCAGGATTGGCTTAAACACATAAGAAAAGGGCCCRTGGCACGAATTCCTTGAGAACAATCTGTTCCTCTCACCTCATAGAGTGTAATGATGCCATTTGTCTCATTTGGAGGTTTCCACTGAACATAGATCTTCTCCTCAAAAGGTCCTCCTTGGATGGATTCCAAGGGAACGGGCCCAGGAACTGCAGGGGGGAAAAAAAACAACTCAACAAACTGTGTTAAAAACTACCAGCAGCTCCAGCTGCACACACATGAGACACTACAAGGCCACCAAAGARGAAGTTCTGAGTAAAAAATAAATAAAATTAAAAATTAAAATCCCTCAAGGCTCTATCATTACCAAGCTACTAGCAATGTGAAAGGCTTATTTCTCAACTTTTGGTTCAAATAACAACACCCTAATAAAACCACCAAGTGACAAATAAAATCAGAATCCATGGAAATATGACGTTAATTTCAGTAGGATTTTATTCCAGTGTGGCAGAGCAGCAGCAGGAAATTTAATTTGTCCTTCTCCACACACACGAGAGCAAAACTCTCCACCTAAGCAGCACCTTGGCATGGAGATGCTGCTGGGCTGCACACCTTTATCAATAGGAGAGATTGATCTGCTTAGAAAAGTAACAATGCAAGATTTATATTTCATTACAGCTGCAAGGCCAGCTCAAAAAATCCACCTACTCCAGCAAAATTTTAATGCTGTGGGAGATAACCAACTAAATACACTCCCAAGCCTGTCTGATAAAAACYCTGCTCATTTTTTCTGAAATATCTGCTGTCCTTTTGTGTCCCCCCTCTGTGAATTATTTGGCTGCAGGAGCCACTTTCAGCTGAGGGAAACTTAGGACAGCAACTTCTGCAGCCCAGGAGGGGGAATTTTGTCCTTGGACTGCAATAGCTCAGGTGGGAYAAAAACACTCTGAAGCTTCCCATCAGTTCCTCCAGAAAACTTTTCTTTAATATCCACAACTATTATTTTATAGCCACAATTAACTTTCCTTCTGAGATCTCTCTAAAATGTGATGTCCAGAGGTTGGTATTAAGAAAGGCCACACTCTGGAAAGGAAGGAATTATACATTGTTTTTTAGGACACCTTCTTTTGTGAAGGCACAAGAAAAATCAACAAATTCCAGGATTGCATTTGCCAACGTGATAGAGGAAGCTGCTGGGTGGTTCAGAAGAAGAAGAATTAAATCTGCAATGCTTCAACACCTGCTCAGACTGGGGTCTGCAACACCCAAGCACTTCAGGGATCTTTGCCCTTTCATGGCTGTTGAGGTGGAAATCATTGAAACCTACAAGTTTCACCCGCAAAACAAACCCATGTCCAGAAAAGCTGCTATGAGTCTTGTGGGACAGAGGGTTCTGCTGTTCTCTACACCCTGAAGATGAGTCTGCCCTCAAAAACMAACCAACCCAACCGCAGCACAACTCACCGTCCTCCTCGGTCTGCACCACCAGCTCCTCGCTCTCCATTCTGCCCTCGGGGTTGGACAGGGCCAGCCTCAGCCTGATGGTCATGAAGGGCCGCAGSCCCCGCAGGGTGTAGTGGGAAGAAGTCTGGATGAGCTCCTCGGCCTCGAATTTCTGCTGGTTGAAGACGTACTGGTAGTGCACGGTGAGGTTGTAGCTGTGGCAGCGCGTCACGGCGTAGCCGAAGGGCTCCCACTGCAGCGTCAGCTGCCGCGAGCGGATGTCCACCACCTCCACGTTCTGGGGCCCGTGCACGGGGTCTGGGGACAAGACACAAAGAGAATTTGGAGTTTGAACATGGCAGACTTTCATTAATGAGCTCCAATCACCGTGTGGAGAGTCCGATTCTTGGAAAATATATCAGATTAAAAATGTATTATAATTTGCCCTGGGGGAAGGACGCTAAAGTTTCTTTGCAGGGCATTGTTCCATCAGATGAGGCCTGATGAGGTTACATCTCAACAGAGAGGGAGAAACACAAAAGATAAGGGAATCAATAACTATCAGCAGCTATTAATGGAACATCAGCCCCAAACGTCCCTCCTAGTCAGAGGCACCTGTCTGAGAAAAGAAAAATAAGAAGGAAGACCTAATTAACATCAGAGGCAAGGAAATCCARATCCAATAGGAACCCAAACGCTGAGAACTGCACAACGTTGGACCAATGAACATTGAACCAATAAAGTTCTATGGATTTTGACTGCATAAAGTTTGGGGAAAATCTTGTAAAATCCATGTGTCATGGAATGATTCTCCCTGCACACCCGGGCTATGTGTGGACAAAAATATTTCTGTGGCACATCCTGGCCAGAATAAAATCCTGGCCATAGAATAAAGTAATGCCTTGACTCTCTAACATTAAAATGTTGTTGGAGAGTTTTTGTTTTTCACACAGTTTCGATGACACCAACGCTCCGTGGTTCTGGTCTGTGCAGTGTAGAAGTTACAGGATATGAATGAAARATGCACAGCTGAATTCTGGCTCCTGAGCTTTCCCTGGAAATTTCCTGTCATGGGGCCCTGATTCCTGTGAAACCTCACTGAATCCAACAATGGTGACAGGATTCCACTGAGTAAGGGGTGGGGAAGTTGTGCTTTCTTCATTTTTACAAAAAAGCAATAACTAAAAGATAATAGTAGTTGGTGGTTTGCTTGGCCTAGGGACCTTGGTGAGTCCAGCCCTAAGTAACGCAAACACACAGGAAATGGCCCCTGGGGAAGGAACAAACTCAAATCTCTGCTTTGAATTCAGCTCCTTGGCCCCTATACCCTCCCCTGCACCCCAAACCCACCCTGCTCAGGCTGAAGCCCAAGAATGAAAGCATCAACACCAAGAGACCAACTCTTGGACTTCCAACATCCCAGGGGTGGCCCCTCATCCATCAAACTCTTGGATGTCCCTACAGTGGGATGTACAAGCAGATCTTGACACTCCTGGAATAAGTTTTCTGAGTCACCTCAACCTTGTGCCAATAAAACTTTAATTTCAGATCATCCCCAWGCCTTGGTCCCATCAAAGTTTCTTTGCTCTTTATTATTCTTTCTACAGTAGCTGGCTGAGGTACACTTTGAATATTCATGTGGAGGAATMATTTTCACCTGCTGTTCCTTAATTTATTTTTAACAGTCTAACTCAAATGCTCTGACTACACTCTGCCCTTTGTATAAAATATAAATGCATGTGCCACCAGACATGTAGATATAAAGAATGAAGGATGAGCGAGTAAAATCAGTGTTTGAGGTAAGTCAGATCATAAAAATTCAACAGATGTCACAGTTTGTTTATCTGACATTTCTTTGACTTGTATTTGCTCTTTTTGCTCAATATATATCTGAGCAAGGTAATTAGAAAATACATAATTTCACATAAAGTTTCTTAATTTACAGCACAACTCAGGGTTCTGCCCACTTCTCATATTCTCTCATGATTTCAACCTGTGAAAAAAACATTTTCATGGGAATAAAAAAGTTGGAAGGACTCCTGAATACCAGTCACACTTCTTTGAGAGATAATTAAAGTGGGAAAAAACCCTTCTAGTAATTCTTGAAAGTAAAGCACGCACCAGCCACCCTGACTTCAATCTACTCATGCATAAGCAGAAAATACATTTTAACAACCTGCACATTCTGTATTACTGCTGAAAATCCCCTAAGGACTGGCAGCAGAAAAGAATTCTGCATCTTTATATAGATCCGCACATGTGCAGACACTTTGGAAATAGGATGGATAATAAAAGACCATGAGTCTAAAGCAAGCAAATGGTTTAGGTTTTCACATAAATCATGTCAATCCCTCAGCATCCAGAAACCACCTCTTAAATGTGAGTCTTTAAATCTTAAAAAAAAAATATTTAGAAATTAGGACAGTTCTATGCATAAATATAAATATATATATACTTAGCATTAGGTGCTAAGTATTGATTATATATATTTATATATAATTATAAATTAATGAAATTCATATTTCTGCAGATTAATTGTATACATAAATAAGGTGAACAAAAGAATGGCTCTCTGGAAATTTTCAGGCTTTGAAACAGTAAAGGGAAGCCCAAGTCCCATTCCAAGATRCATCCAAAGGAAACAAAACCAAAACCAAATGCAGATATTTGTCCTTGCCCTGCTGAACTCTGCATTACACCAAGCACTCAATTGCAGAGCCCAACCCAGAATGTGGCTGAGACACAGCAAAAACATTTCATACCAGACAATAATGCAGCTGAAAATAGTAATTAACCTCCATATGAATGTTATACTGCCTTTATTTTATGGGTTTTTTTTAGATTTATGGTTATTGTCTTTAACTCTGTCCTTTTATGGAGTGACTCAGCACTTAATGGGTGATTCATTGATGTCAGATGTGCTGACTGTACCTGTGAGTAAGGAAAAACATCATCTGCCCAATGCTAGACTAGAGAAGATTCCCTGCAGTTTTTAGCTTCCTTTCCTTTCCTTTCCTTTCCTTTCCTTTCCTTTCCTTTCCTTTCCTTTCCTTTCCTTTCCTTTCCTTTCCTTTCCTTTCCTTTCCTTTCCT